ACAGGTATTATTGATTGGCGGCGGGTGATCGGCTTAACTTCCAGTTCTTCACCTCCCCTTGCGGTTGAGATATGGGGCTGAAACCCCTACTCCTGTCTTCCTCTTTCCAGTAACCAGCCCCCAACTGGAAACTACCTAGTCAGTCCAATCATTAGCACACACAAAGACTCTATCTCTTTGGAAGTGCAAGGATTTTAGAAATTGTAGGCCAGAAAACAGGAAGGAAGACCAAACACACATTTTACAGTGCTCCAGGTTTTCTATGAAGGCTGGATCATCCCCGTAATTTAGTCTCTTTGAGTTCTCCTGGCAAGAGCACCTATGTGGTAACTACACTTGGTCACCAGCCTGTGTGGTGCGGCTTTGCTTTCCCCCTCCCCTCTCTTCCCTCCCCTGGCCTCTCCATGCTGTCTCCCTCTTCTCTCTTCCTTCTGCCTGCCCACTTACCCTTTATTGGTATGGTCCTTGTTGGGCTTCCACTTCCATAATGACCAGGCTCATAGCACAGGACAAATACAAAGGCAACCTGGGAAACTGGGGTTGGAGGTGTTCGGATCCACACACCCGACACTGAGCTACTGAGCCTTCCAGGAGTACAGAGAAAAGTAGCTGATGGCACAGCTGGGCCATAGCTGTGCTGCAGGGAGACACCTTCCTGGTGGCATCACCTACTGTCGCGAGCCGCAACGTCAGAATCCTGCCAGCAGGTCCCAAACCCGAGGGAGGAACAACAGGAGAGCAGTTTCACGAACTTAGTTCCAGGCTCATGCTCTCTCCATAGCAAGGCAAGGCCCCGTTTATTTTTCAGGGTCGGGTATATAAGGCTAAAACCGAAACTAAAAGTGTAAACATTTATACTCTTCAGCTGCATGGGAGCGAGAGCTGCACGGGGGCGAGAGTACCGCCCACACCTTCCAGAGGGAAACAATAACAACCATTATGGGTTACATCTGCTACCAGCTGAACTTGCCCGTTGGTATGGACGACAGCACGTCCGTGCCGGCGAGGTGACTCAAGGTTCAATCATGGCTAGGCCTACGTCAAGGCTCACCATGATGGCTCACCATAACCTACCGGAACATCTGCCCAGCAGATGGAAGAAATGGAAAGTGAAGAGAGGGAGATCCGCCCAGCAAGATGTGAGTCCTTTCAAATGAAATACAAAAATTTCTCAGGCCTACAACCATACACAGAGATGGTACTTTTATTATTTAATGAGACACAAATCTGAAAGACTCTTTCTGAATCTACTATTGCTTTAAGCATTTTCTGTTTCACAAAAGCATGTGTGTGTGTGTGTGTGTGTGTGTATACACATACATTTGAAATTTAAGTGAAAATATAATTTGAAGATATTCCTGCCTCAAGTGTGGACAATAATCTAGTGAGTGTATGGACCCATGGAACTCTGCAATAAATTCGCTCTTTCCCCCATTGGAAGAGATTGATCCAGACATTGGGACGATGGAATACTCTGCCACGGTAGTGAAAAGTCAGTACCCTCCTAGGATGTAGACAGATAATGGCAAAATCAGGGAATGGAACTCTTCCTGTAATTGAAAGGGGAAAGCCTAAGAATCGATGGAAAGATGCAGGTCTGTCCCAATCCCCTCCTGCATGGAAGGTGCCACCCCTGCCTGAAATGAGTGTATGGCTTCACCCATGATATTATCCTTGCTCCTCCACCCCTACCCCATTCAATTCAGTAAGCCAGAATGTGCCAGGCCAAGTGAGACATACTTTCATATAAGCCTCTCTTTTTGTTGAATCTTTATAACAAGTTCATGGATTGGGTATTATCCTCATTCATAGATATGGAAACTGAAGATTAGAGACAGTTAAATTTCTTGGCTCAAGGTCATATAGCCAATAAATGATGGAGTTAAGGCCCTGGGTATCATTTCTCTGTTCACCACAATACACTGTCTTTTTGGCCCCTTCTCTGAAACACAGACTTGCTATTGAAAGATGAGATAGAGGTAGAGGTGGGTGGTAGTCATTTTTTAAGCTGGTTCCAGGCAGAAGGAACTGCTCCTAATGGCATTTCCATAATTAGAAAGCATTTCTTTCTGATAGTTATAATTTAGGCAATTGCAGTGATATTCAGCTGAAACCTGGCATACAAGATGTTCATTTCTCTTAAAAGTTCACTTTTAATTGGTCTCAGTTCTTTCTGAGTCTAGGAGAAGTACAACATGTATACTTCAGATGTTTTCAATGTCAAAGTCTATTTGATACAAATACTCAGTCCCTGGAGTTTATTCTGAATTCTCTGGTAAGAGATGAGGGTATTGGGTAAAAAAGAAAGGAGAAAAAGGCCTTGTCAGAGGGACTGCTCTCACAAAGCATGCTACACCCAAATCGACTCTAGAACACTGAGCACATTCTATAAGCCATACGGAGTAGCAAAGTATCCTGAAGATGGGATTATATATCAGTTTGGTCTGTCTTTGCTGGGTCTTCCACCCCATGGAAGTGGGTACCCTCAGAAGAGGATAGACTGTGTTTGGTCAAGTGAGAGGAGAATTAAAGTATGCCTCCTCCCGAAATGTCAATGTACTTCTGAGCTTTAGGAATATCCCAAATCCTGAAGATTCCTGGAATTTGCATTAAATAAACAGAAAAAGAGAGAGAGAGAGAGAGAGAGAGAGAGAACTAGTGTAGAGTGTTGTTGAGAACAGAAGATGATGTGAAACCGAAAGGTATAGATTTAAGCCCATTCCTTCTCTGCCACTTGCTACGTAACCTCTTTGTGCCTCAATTTCCTGGGCCAAAGATTGAGCTAATAACACCAAGATGTGAGAACTGTGAGAACTAAGTGTGGCATTCTGTCCGACCTCCCCCAAACAACTGTTCCTCTAATCTAGCAGATTAGATTGACAAACCCCCCCATTGTGCTAAATAAAGCATAGAGATAAATGAATGAAAAGGAAAGTAAAAATTCCTTCGAGGCCAAACACTAAGTAAAAGTGGAATCCTACAAAGAACGCAGTAACCAATTTTCCTTGAGGACATTTGTCAAACCCAGGTGACCTTGAGCTTCAGTCCTAGCAGTTTGTAGAAATCAAAAGACAAAAACTTTGGCCTGTCCAAGTGGGAGTCTCATAGAAAAACTACTGGGGACTATGTCCTCAGGCTAAGAGTGAAGGAGAGACAAGGATGATAATTTTCCTTAAGACTTGGCTGGCTGCTAGATGGGGAGGACAAATATTTTGAGAATTGATATGAAAAACCCAGGCCATAATAGGGATTTGAAGGTCAAATTATGACTACCTGGACTTGCCACAAATCATCAAGTTTAAAGACATCCTTGTTTAATGGTGTACCTAGGCGCCTGCTAGCAACAAACGCAAATACTTTATACAGAAACACGTCTTCAACCTAGAGCTCAGATAAATCCTGTGGTTTCCAAAGAATGTGTATATTCAAAAAACATAACACACAAAGGAAGCATAATACCATGAGAAAAATTAGCCGAAACAGCACCAGCTTCATGGCCCCATAAAGATTTAGATGTTAAAACTATCTGAAACAAAATATAAAATATGTTTGACCTTTTTAGAAATAAAAAAGACTGATAATTTGAATAGGAAGAACTGTAAACACAACCAAACAGATTCAAAAAAGAACCAAACACACCATTTGCAGACAAAAAACTTAACTGAAATCAGGAGTCAACACATGGATATAACAGTATTAGATATATTTAGAGTTTGTCAACTCTGATATAAATCTGAAAAAAAAACACTCAAAATATAGGGTAGAAGTAAAAAAATGCAAATATGAAAGAGAGCTAAGAGACATGGAGGTTAAAGTATGAAGGTCTAACTTACATCTAGCCAATTTTTCAAAAGGAGAAGAGGAAAATATAGGGAAGAGGCATTATTTGAAGAACAAATGACTAAGACTTTTCCAAGACCAAAAAAAAGAAAGAAAGAAAGAAAGAAAGAAAGAAAGAAAGAAAGAAAGAAAGAAAGAAATTCTGAGTTAGCAAATTCTAACCAGAATACTTAACAAAAATCTGCTCTCAGACATCTCATCTACAAAATATCAAAGATAAAGAATCTTTAGATTATCTTGGGGGAAGATAAAAGAACAATCAATAGACACTAGGATGATATCTTCATGTGCTAAGAAAACAAGTTAAGTACCCAAGAAATGTGCACTAAGAATGGCATGACATTTTCAGACAAACCCGGACAGGTGTCATCAGAAGACCCTGACTCCAGTTAAGAATTTGTTACCTCTCAGCTCCAAATTTGCCCTTTTGCTCTGTCAAAGTGGAGATGGACTCTTTAAATATTTTCCCTTTATCAGCTGGAGTTGTATCATTGGCAAGAGAAGACAAAGGAATTTCCCTTCCCATTTCCTGTTCACTCTAAGAGGACACCCAGCCTCCCTAGGCACAGGCTCATCCAGTGCAATCAGCACCCAGCAGCCAACAGCTTCTTTCTATAATTCTCTCAAGGTGTGTCCCGATCTGTAGTTTTTCTAGCACCCCAGAGGACAGATTTCCAGTAGGTTTTATCAGTCCAGCACCTCAGCAACTTCTCTGCCACTCAGTGAGCCATAGCCATTGTCTCTCCCTCAAGGTCTAGATCACAGCTGTCTTCTTCAAACACTGGATTTCAGACCTAGGCACGATAGCTATTCTACCTCTGCTCTTTCTGTAGCCTTTAATGTTCTCTTTCCTTCTTTCTAGCCAATCTCTCATTACTTCATTCTGTATTGTGCTTCACCATTCTATTAAACTTTCCCTGTTCTCTCTCTGGATTGGACCCTGACTTACCATTCACCCCAGGATGTCCTTCATGCCAAAGAAAAATGATCACAAATAGGAGGTCTGACATGCAAGAAGGTATAATAGCTACAGAAAGAAGTTTTGAAAAGTGTAACTAAACCAGAAAAAATACATGGTCATTTCCTCTTTTAATTTTCTGAAGCCCAGTACCTCAAAAGACAATCTCCAAGACATTGTTCTTTTGTGCCTCTCCTCCTAGCATTGCCAGAATGGTGAGATGATGAAAGTATCACTGTGGAGTCAGACAAACCAGTCACAGCTATGCTACTGTGTCTTCAGAAGTTTATTACCTGGAAACTGAGGTAACAATGACTCACTCTCTCACTCCCCTGCCATGAGACTCACTAAGCTAACCTATACAAAAGTATTTAGAGCACAGTAGGTTCTGTTTCCTCCGACAAAGGCATTCTGAAGAGATGCTTGCTCCCAGAGAGCCTTGTTTCCCTCTGCTAGTCATAAAACTTTCTTCCCTCCAGAGAACCTCTATGCTTCTGAAAAGATTCTTCAATGTTCTTTTCCTAATGGGCTCATTTAATTAGCTGATGTCTGCATGTAGCTTGGAGGAAAAGTGCTGAGGCAGCTCTTTCTATCACCTTGTTCCCTTTCTTCCTAATGGACTACTAAATCTTTAAATCTGAGCCCTGGGTATCTATCTGGCCCTTGTGCTGTAAGGAGATCCAGGAGTCACCAAATGTCCTGAGCCAAGAATGAAGTGGCAAGGCAAGGTAAGTGCTTACACATTCTCTGACAGTACTTGCCATGCTGTTACTTTTAAGTGAGTCAATCATTGATTAAGTATTGTGTAATGAGTAGGGTTGGGGTAGGGGGCAGAGGTGGTATCGAGTCTGTGCCCCAAATCTACAGCCAACTATGTCTGTATCTATCCACAGAGGCCAGCTAATTTGAGTGAAAAGCAGTGAGACCCTATACTACCTCAGACATTCAGCCTCTTAGTCATCACTCTGTCAGTGACACAAACAGAATATTCTGTGTGCGACCCGCAGGACGCATGGACCAGCATGAGGACATAGACCAGAGAGATGGGAAATTCACCTCTGTTCTCTGGTAGCTCTTTCCCACCTCACTCCCAAAAAAGCAAGCAAACTCTCAGTCCCACCATCTTAGATCTGAAAAGAAACCAGAAGTTGAGTGCTTCCTCCTTCTCACACTAGGATTTTTGGCCTTTGCTTGGATGTTTTCAAAGATAAGGAGACATATTCTCCAGGAATGTTTTTCTCATTGGGAAGTAACTGAACATTAGAAAATTCTGCTCTTGCAGAACCAATTTCTGTGCATAAAATTACACAAAATCCCAATCCCTTAAGCAAGCAGAAGGGTTAGTATGTGAACTACATATATGAAATGACTGCAGTATCCCATGACAACTCTCATAGGAGGGTATTCAGTGAGTGCTTCATAACAATGTTCACTGGAATTGGGGATCTTCCCTTAATGTCTTCTGAATCCTAATGCCTCTAACCAGAAAAGGGTACTTCCCCTTCTGGAAATATGGACTAAATATGTTTTCCCCTATTCTTCCTGCTATGTATAACCAAAAATCCCTGACATTATACTTAAAAACAAACCAAAGAAGAGTTTGACAGATGGAGAGGAGTAGGAAAATCAGTAGAGAACTTGGAACCAAGGAATGACACGGTGATGCATTTCCAGATGTTTTGTTTTATGGTCACAGCCCTACTTATGCCAGCAAATGTTGAGTGAGAAGCTTAAACTTCACTCATGTGAGGCTGTAACAAAGCCACTTCTCCAGTCAAGATTCTCCAGGGAAACAGAACAGATAGAACAAAGACATAGATATTTAGGTGTTTGTTAGGGGAATTGGTTCATATGAGCATTGAAGCTGGGAGTTCCGCAATCTGCCTGGAGAACCAGGAAAGCTGTTGATGTAGTTCGATCCAAGTTCAAAGGCCTGAGAACTAGAAGCTCTGATATCCAAGGGCAGAAGAACATAGATATCCTAGCTAAAGAATAAGGAGAGAGAGATTTGCCCTTCCTCTCCCTTTTTGTTTCATTCAGGCTCTCGGTAAATTGGGTAGTGGTAAAGGCACATTGAGGCTGGATCATTTTTGCTTAGTCTACTGATTCAATGCCAATCTCTCCTAGAGACACCCTCACAGACACACCCAAAAAGTAATTTTTTGCAATCTATTTGAGCATCTCTTAGCTTGGTTGAGTTGACACTTAAAATTATACATCACAGCATCCCAACAGCCCAGCCAAGAGGAAGTCAAAGGACCAGTACAGAGTTGGTGCTTGCATCCTGTAATAGAGGAAAGAAGCCAACTATATCCTCCTTCTGCAGGTTAGAGGCAACCACAGGGAGATTCTGGACTTTCAGTCCACCTGGCAGTAATGAGGCATCCTTCCACTCTTCACTGGAGTGGAGTCAGAGGAAGCCTAGTAGAGGGTCAAGTCTTTCACTATTTTCCAGCATCAGCAAGGCTGCCTCCTAGGGTATCAACAGAGACTGATAGGGGAACCTTCCCTGCTACTGCCTCCTAGAAATAATGAAGCCTCTCCCGCTTCCTCCTGTCAGAACTCTGTTAGAAAAAAAGACATTTAAAAAGAACATCTGGATTAGAACCAGAGCTTCATAGCATAAAACAAAAAAGTTCAAGCATCAACTGAAAAAAATCACTTAAACCAAGAAGCAGGAAATCACAATCTGAATGAAAAAAATACAATCAAAGGTACAAATTTCAGCACTCTGGGAGGCTGAAGCAGGAGGATCACAAGTTTGAGCCCAGCCTAGACAACTTAGAAACTTAGCAAGGCCCTGTCTCAAAATTTTTAAAAATTTTAAAAAGACTGGAGACATAGCTCAGTGTAAAGGGCCTGAGTTCAATTCCCAGTGTAAAAAAAGCCAGTCCTAAGGTGAAATAAATGTTACAAATATGTAATAAAAGTTTTTAAAAAGCCATTTTTAATGGGAAGGAGAACAAGAGGAGGGAGGGAGAAAGGAAGGAAGGGAAATAAAAAAGTAAAAATAGAAGGAAAAATGGTAACAAAGCTTTTGTACATAAGGAAAGTATGGGGCTTGGGGGAAGAGATAAAATAAAATTTATTGATAAAAATAGTCATTTTTTAAAAAATGCTTCAATGAACATCTCAGGAAAGATGAAGATATGGAGATGTAAATTTTGGAACTGAAAAATACAGTAACTAAAACTTCAGTGGGTAGACTCAAGAGTAGAATTAAGTGAACAGGGGGTAAATAATCAATGAAGTGGAAAATAGGAGAGAAGAAATTATCCAACCTCATCAATAAGAGAAGAAAGAAAGAAAGAAGAGAGGGGGGGGGAAACCTCAGGGAACTGTGAGACTGTGACCAAACACCTAACATTCATGTTAATGGAGTTCCAGAAGAAAAAAAGAGAGAGAGAGAGATAGAGGGACTGTAAGAAATATTCAAAAAAACGGAGGTAGAAATTTTCCAAGATTTAGCAAAAGACATAAACTTACAGATTTGAAAAGTTGAATGAACCCCAAACCAGGTCAACCAAAAAAAAAATTTACACCTGAACATACTATAGTTAAAATTCTAAAAGCTAATATACATATAGAAGAAAAAAAGAGAGAGAGAGAGATAGAGGGACTGTAAGAAATATTCAAAAAAACGGAGGTAGAAATTTTCCAAGATTTAGCAAAAGACATAAACTTACAGATTTGAAAAGTTGAATGAACCCCAAACCAGGTCAACCAAAAAAAAAATTTACACCTGAACATACTATAGTTAAAATTCTAAAAGCTAATATACATATAATCTTATCCAAAATTATGGAGGTCAAATGTTATAACACTTTACAATTTTTAGAAAAAAGAACTGGCATCTCAGAATCTTTCACACAGTGAAAATATTCTTCAGAAATGAAGAGAAAATCAAGACACTTTCAGATGAAGGGAAAATAAGAGAATTTGTCACCAGCAGTCCTCTGCTAAAATAATAACTAAAAGATGGTCTCCCTACTCTCCCTAAATAAAAACAAAATGATAAAAAGAATTCTAGAACAGCAAGATGGAAAAAGGAGTATAATAAACAAAAATATGGGTGTGTGCAATAGTTTTTTTCTCCTCAAGTTTTTTAAATTATATCTGAGAGTTGAGGCAAAAAGTGATTTTCTCATGTGGTTCCTAATATATGGAGAGGGAATCTTTAGGGCAATTATACTGTAAATGGAGAAGGATAAAGGGACATGACGGAAGGTGATGTTTCTGCATGTTATTCCAAATGGTAAAAGAATGTTATCAGTAGACTACGTTAGCTATGCATATATAATATAATACTGAGTCAACCAATTTAATGCAGCATAAAGAGATACAGTTTTAAAGCATTATAGATAAATCAAAATAGAATTCCAAATATGTTCAAATATTCCACAGTAAAACAAGAAAAAAAAAGAGGGAAACGATAGACAAAACAAATAGACAAAAAGCAAAATAGCAGATTTAAATTCTAACATATCAATAATTATATTAAATGTCAATGGTCAAAGTGAATCAATTAATAAGAGAGAAGTTAAAGTGGGTTAGAAAAAATATACCCGAACCATATGCTTCCTATTAAAAAATTCACTTAAAGTATACCATTATAGATGGGAGGAAAGTAAATAGACAGAAAAAAGTTAACCACTAAGCAAAGGAAATCTGAAATGACTGTATTAGTATTATGAAGTAGGCTTTATATAATATTTTTAAATTATCTGAGCAAAACATCTGGGACATTAAATAATGATAAGAGGATAGATTCAGTAAGGAGATGTGACAATCATAAATGGATATGTAACCAACATCAGAGCTGCAAAGTATGTAAAGCAAAAACTGACAGAAATTAAGAGAACCAAACAAATCTAAAATTATAGTTGGAGATTTCAGTAACCCATTCTCAATGACTAATAGAACAATTAGGCAGGAAAATCAGAAACAAATGAGTAAGAACACAAGAATAGAGCTGGGAATTTTGCTCAGTGGTGCCACTGCCTGCCTTGAAAACATAAGGACTCAAAGGACTCAAGTTTGATCCCCGGTACAAAAAAAAAAAAAAAAAAAAAAAAAAAAAAAAAAAAAAAAAAAAAAAAAAAAAAAAAAAAGAATATGGTCCATTCAAAACACAAGAACATCATCACCCCAAAGGATATAATTAACATTTACTGAATAGTCATTTAACAATAGCAACATATATATTATTTTCAATTATCTATGAAACATACACCAAAACAGACTCAAATGAACAAGTTTAAATCATATGGAATATGTTCTCTGGCCACATTGAAATAAAACTTGAGATCAGTAACAGAAAGATCCCAGGAAGATGTTTAAACATATGGAAAGTTAAATAATCCATGAATCAAAGAAAATTTAAATACATTGAACTAAATGAAACTGAAAATAAAACATCAAAGTTTATAGGACACAATTAAAGAAGTGCTAAGAGATAAAATGTATACCATTAAATTCTATACTGACAAAGAAGAAAAAACTCTAATCAATTATCTAACCTCTCATCTCAAAAGCCTAGCAAATTTCTGGGCATAGTGGAGTTTACCTATAATCCCAGCACTTGGGAGGCAGAAGCAGGAGGATCACCAAAAGTTTGAGACCAATCTGAGCTACACAGTGAGTTCAATGCCAACCTGAAATACAGAGAAATACAGAGAAATACAGAGAAATACCCTGTATTTCTCTGAAATACAGAGAAAGACCCTGTCTCAAAAAAAAATATATAGAAAATAAAAGGCAAAATAAACCCAAAGCAAGAAGGAAGAAAATAATAAAGATCATAAATCAATGATATTAAAAATAGAAAAAAAATCATGAAACAAAGAGTTCTTTAAAAGATAAATGAATTTGATGTTATGGTTTAAACACAGAGTTCCTGAAAGTGTCCTGTATTAAAGGCTTGATCCTCACTGCAGTAACGTTCGTGATGTTCTGCCATGACCCAAGCCAAAGCAATGGAGCCAGCCAGCCATAGACTGAAGCCGTGAGTCAAAATACACCTTTCCTCCTTTAAACTGATTGTCTCAGGTATTTTCTCATGGTGACAGGAAGTTGCCTGACACAACTGACAAACCTCTGGCAAGACTGACAA